GACGTAAGCTTTTAATGTTTTCACTCCGGACCACTAGAGGCACGAACCTGAACCGGCCCAGCGTAATCAATGCCGCAATGCACGAAGCAGTGGGAGAACGGCGAAACTCGAGGAGAGGGGAGATCGCCCATCAGTTGCGTCAAGATAATCGCAGCCTGCCTGGCACAGCGGACGCATCGTTTGATGACAGCCCAAACAACGCATCGGGCACGCAAAATCCACACTTCCCGCCGTAACGTTGCGAGGGTAAGTTGCGGACCGGCGTGGAGCATCTTTTGATGTGTGTACTCCATTAATCGATTGACGAATGGGTGTACCGCGAATAGGATCGGATGTTGTTGGGCGTACGGAATGGACGACTGTCGCAGCCGTCCGCCCACGCACAATAGACCTTCCCAGTCCAGAAACGGCCGCAAAGGGAGGAGAATGCTCTTTCGAAAAATGGGCTGGGAATTCGAGAGTAAGTGAATCTCCTCAAAGAACAAGTCACTCTGAACTCGTCGGAACCAATGGAGCTTCGCGGATTGAAACTCTTTTGCACTGATCGGACTGATGACTGATGACAGACGTTGGAGCATGAGGAATCTCGTGTCTCGATTTCGTGTCTCGGCAGTGTCGAATGAACCACACCATATATGCGGTGACGCGGATTAATTTCGTCCACGATGAAATTTTGTCGCTCAGATCCCAAGATCCTAAGCGATGAGCCGAATGAGAGACGACTTTTGGAGGGGCGACGGACTCCTTCGCAGTCGGAGAAAGGGAATGGACACGTGGCCACCGGGGCTCCGGTAATAGGAGCTACGACGGGCCGTTCCACCATAATGATTGCGATAAAAATTAATCGCCGCACAACCCACGCGACGCGCAATCTGCGGGATTGTCATGCATCGGGACGTGACGCCATTCCGCATTCAGCAATCGAGACTGCACATCGGATATGTGATTGGCCACGTAAGTCTTCCAACAGGAAAGATGCTGACGAAGCCAGGCTAATACGACTGTAGAATCAGTTCAGCAGACGCGTTTTACCCACGACCTTTCAAGACTGAAGTCGATAAAATTAATAAGGCGCGCGAATAACACGGCAGCGCACAACTCTAAGCGCGGAATGCTGACGATAGATAACAGAGCTATCTTTGATCTGCCCGCCAGGAGGGTGACCTTAACATTTCCGGAAGGAGAGGTCATTCTTATATAAACAATAGCGGCATACGCGACAGACGATGCATCGGCGAAGCCGTGCAATTCGATATCGAAGAAATGAGAACGCTGCCCGGTCCAGCGCGGAATCCGCAAGCCGTTAATGGACAATAATTTATCGAAGATCGCCCGCCACGACATCAACGTTTCGGGCAGGATCGAATCGTCCCATCCGAGCTTCATTTTCCAAAGACCCTACATGAAAACATTCGCGCGGAACGTTACCGGAGTTACCCATCCCATCGGATCAAATAACCTAGCGATAGCGGACAATATTGAGCGTTTTGTGGTCGGCACGTGTTCGGGGAGCGAGACTCGAAATTCGAAGGAGTCGAGCTGAGGATTCCACGACACGCCCAGAATGTTGACTCGCTCGTCTTGCTGCAGGAACTTTGGATGAGCGAGGCTCTGATTCTCCGCGTCAAGGCTGGCCATTAACACGCGCGAGTTGCCGGCCCACTTATGCAAACGAAAACCGCCACGTGACAATAACGTGACTGGATCAGTTGATCGCGGGTTGATTGTAGGCGCAATGCATCGTCCGCGTCGAACAAAATATCATCGACGTAAATCCCACGCCGCAATACTGGAACGGCGAGAGGGAAGTCCGAACCCTCGTCCTCGACGAGCTGTCGTAACACGCGAAGCGCGAGATAGAGAACCGAAGCCGTCCCGTAAGTCACAGTAAACAATTGATCCCGAATTGCCTCATCCGGGTTAGCGCTCCATAACACCCTCTGATAATTTTTGTCTCGCGAATCGACTTTGATCTGACGATACATTTGTTTAATATCGGCCGCGTAAACGTATTGGAATTGTCTCCACTGCAGAATGACCGTCACAAGATCCGCTTGCAGCTTGGGTCCGGTGAACTGATGTTCGTTCAATGAGGTACCGTTAGTGGTGACACTAGACGCATTGAAGACCACGTGCAGGTGGGTGGTCGAGCTTGCTGCGCGAATGACCAGATGATGCGGAATGTAGACAGTCTGAGAGTCGGAATCGATATCGCGCGGGACGACGCTCATATGCCCTTGAGCTTCGTAATCGCGCATGAACTGAATATATTCGTCGCGCTGCTCCGGATGCAGGGCAAATCGGCGATGTAGATTCCAGAGAAGTCACTCGGCGCGATCGCGCGATCGGCCAATGGCAATCGGTAGGCCCTCCCTGAACGGTATGCGAACCACGTATCGACCCTCCGCATCGCGGGAGTGCGTGGCGCGAAAGTGACTCTCACATCGCTCATCCGATGGGCTGAGGTGCGACCGAGATGGAATTTCCTCAGTCTCCCAAAACCGACGAAGCTCATCCTCGAGGGTAGTTGACCCGATGGTATGAAGCGACTGGATAAATGCAATATGAGCCTCTGCTTTTGTTGACGGGGGGACCGGTTGTCCAGCGTCTATGCAAGACAATGGGCCGGACAGAACCCAGCCGAGGGCGGTGTTCTGAGCGACAAGGCGCCCTGTTGCGGCTCGGCGGACACCTTCGAGGAGCAATTCTCCATAAAGATCGGCGCCGATAATCAAATCGATCGGCCTCGGACTTATCAGATCTGGATCGGCCCAATGCAAGTCAGGAAAGCACTGGGAGACGGGAGACGTCTCCGAGGTGCTCGGAGCGTAATCAGTCAAGGCTTTCAAGGTTAACGCGGTCGTCAGGAAGCTAGGGGCGGACGCGTCGAAAGGCGAAATGACCATGCAAGCGGCTTAATAAGAGACTCCGGCGCGAACGTACCCAATGCCCGAGACCGCGACAGGCATGCGAACGCGGCGGGCACACAATAACTGAGCGAGGTTTTCAATCACGAAGGACATCTCAGAGCCCTGCAGGCTTATTCTGAAACTTTTTAACGCATGCGTTATAAGTATAACGCATCCGTTGTACTTATCAAAGACTTTGGATTTTCTACAAATGATTGCATCATATCCAAATTTTTATCGAAATGTGTCGGTGATTTTGATCTACCACTCCGCGGGCGGTTCTTGACAGATTCCGTTTCTTCGAACCGTCTGACAGCTTTTGAACTGTAGACTTTGGAATTGGTTCACGATCTGCATAAGTATCGTTAAACAAAGTCGCTACTTGTTCGAAGGACCTACGAGTGTAGTCCCAGAAGTACCCGGCCTAACAAAGAAAACAAAAAATTTGGGAAAAAATATCTTTATTTCTCTACATAGTCTCCTTTTAGCTCAATACACTTTTCCCAGCGATGTTCAATAGCTTCGATACCCTGTTTATAGTGGGAATCGTCGAGCTCCTCAAAATAGCCATCAACCGCAGACTCCACTTCTTCATTGTTGACAAATCTTTTACCACCGAGCCATTTTTTCAAGTTTGGAAACAGAAAATAATCCGAGGGGGCTAAATCTGGCGAATAGGGTGCGTGAGGAAGCAATTCGAACTTTAACTCATTGATTTTGCCTACCGCGATAACGGATGTGTGAACTGGTGCTTTGTCTTGATGAAACAAAACTTTCTTTTTTGCCAAATGTGGCCGTTTTTTCTTGATTTCATCACTCAAACGCTGCAATAAGTTCGCATAATACTCGTCGTTGATTGTTTTTCCTTTCTGAAGATAATCAATGAAAATTATCCCACACATCCTAAAAACTGACGCCATGACCTTGCCTGCAAATGAAACTATCTTCGCCCTCTTTGGAGCCGATTCTCCTCTTTCAGTCCATTATTTTGACTGTTCCTTCGTCTCAGATGTGAAGTAATGGACCCATGTTTCATCCATAGTTATGAATCGACGGAAAAACTCGGCTTTATTGCTGTGAAACTTCGCCAAACACTCGATTGAAACATCCTCACGACGCTGTTTTTGTTCCATTGTGAGTAATCGCGGCACCCATCTTGCGTACAGCTTTCTCATGTCAAATTTTCAGTCAATATGCGATGTACAGCACTTTTTGAAATGCCTACCATATCTGCTAACTTGTGCACTTTCAGTCGACGGTCATCCAATACCATTTTATGGATTTTCTTCATCATTTCTGGCGTGGTTACCTCATTTGGTCGACCACTGCGATGTTCGTCTTGGCAGCTCGTACGGCCTCGTTTAAACTCTGCCACCCAATATTTTACTGTTGTAAACGAAAGAGCAGACTCCCCCAGAGTAGAATTCAGCTCCGCTTTGATATTGGTTGGACTGAGATCTTTAAAATGAAAGTATTGTATCACATAACGATGACCAATTTTTTCCATGTTTACAAATTCATTGAGAGCGTTCACTATTGATGGCTGCCAAACAAATACTAAACAACGTAGCGTCGTCAAACTTCAAACTTAAGCTTTATAAGGTTAGTACTTTCTACCTTTCATAGTCATTCTTTTCAAACAACAACCGCCATCTATACGTCAGGTCGGGTACTTTTGGGACTCGTAACGCGGGCACCATATACTCGCATCATCAATATTTTAATTCTTTCCCTTGCAGTCAATACCATTTTGGCGACTACTGAAGGTAATTTCTTACTTTGCAAAATAAATTACTTTGACTTGATATATGAACAAGTAATTTGTTACTGACGAATTGTATGACGAATACGATCTGCATCTAGTGTCTAGCATCTAATAAATTTTTTTCGATAAAGAAGGGTCGGATAATCAAAAACCCGTCGACATGTTTTTTTGGGCATACTACATGTGGAGATCACGTCTGTGCTACTTTCCTTATCGAAGAATAAAGATAAGCTCCTACAAATAATTTGTAAGTCTAATGACAGTTTACAAATAATTTATTACAATGTGTACGCAACGATACCTGCTAACTTGGAAGACCTTAGGAAATGCATACTGCACCAAGTAAATCTTATATCATCAGAAATGAGACGAAACGTTTTAAATGAATTTCATCTACGATTAGGTCATTGTCAAGCAGCAGACGGAAGACAATTTGAATACTTAGATCAGTAAAACCCGTCTACATACACACGCACGCGCACGCGAGCGCAGACACACACACACGCACACACACAGCAAAGAGGGTTTGGAGCCATTAAACATTACGGGAGTGACGAACCGTAGGGTCCTTATCTCTGTTGCACGCACGCACGCATGCACACAGAGGTGTAAAGTCCGACTATACAACCTCCACGGTACATCCTGGATAATATTAATGCTGGCGGCACCGTAAATTCTAAAGCTCATAACTCAGACAATTCTCAACAAAAATAGGTCATTAAGTAGTGTTTTGGAAACGCCTTGTTGTCATCTTTAACACTGTGTGATAAAAAATTGGGGTGTTTTATTTAAAAAAGTCATGTTGGCCTTGACCTTGCCTTGACTCCACTCAAGGTCAAACGGATATGATCATTCAATAACTTTTAAAACCCTACAACTTTGGTTCAAAACATTTTTCTGAGAAACGTTTTGTTTTCGAGATATTTGACCGTTCCCAGACTTTTCTAACACTCTGTATATATCTGTGTTATATATCTATGTTATATCTATGTCATATTTCTATATATATCTATGTTATAAAACGTTATATTTCTATTATATTATATAATTGTAAATTTTATGAGTAGGAATTTACAACTAACGAGTATGTGTTTGCAACATCCACGTTATATTACATATTACATTTGTTATATCACAGTAATCTATCTTTTATTTATCAGTGTTTGCTGGGGAGCCAAAATATATTAAACTAAAAGGCCTAAGAAGAGTATTAATGATCGTTTCGGGTTGTCAACGGGCGACCGGCCGCTTACGGCCGAAGTACGCGTTTTAACGTGCGTTCGCTTTAACTAAAACTCATATAACTCGAGAAATACTTTAAATTTCATGAAACGCTTTTAGGAGCATACTTTTAAAGTATCAATCTTTCAAAAAATGTAAAAAAAATCGATTTTTTGAAAGCGTTACTGTAGTGTACCCCTTTAAGATATGTTCTAAAGTCATGGAAAGGATAACCAATCATTTAGTTTCAGCAACTTCTCGTGAGCCGCTCTGTATAAAAAGAAACATAATAGTTTTTGTCTTCTCTATTTAATTATACAAAAGTTCTATAAAAGGAAACAATACTTATAAAATTTTTATTTCATGCTAAAGTTGCATGATGTTTATTATTCTCTTGATAATTTTAATCTAATAATATAATATGTATTTAATATAATAAATTAAATTCATACAACTGTTTTACTATAACACATTTCTGAAATATGAAAAATTTTCAGATTTCTTGCAATCTTTGTGTTTGCTTATGGATACTTATCCTTCTCCATTTCGATTTTGGATAGGCAATAAGTTATTTATTGATATATTTGAACCAGACCAGACAAAGGTAAGAGAATACGTATTATGTATTTGTTAATTTATTTATAAGTGTATCAGTTACAAACTAACTGTAAAATGAAAATATATCATTACTGCTCTTCAATATATAGGGTGTGTTAAAAATCAACCAACTAAGAGGAGGAATAAGAGTTTGAATAAAATATATAAGGTGTCACAGATCACCCGTACCAGCCAACTTTTTTGTAAACACAATAATTTAAAGAAAAATATTTAAGACAAAAGTTATTTGGTTTGAAGGGGGACATAAGTCAACGATAGCATTTTGTTTATAGATGGTGCCATTTTCGAGATATTCACTGACCATCAATTATCTTAAGTAGAAATCCCAACTTTTTATTGTACCATTTTTTTTTACCAATTAATTTGAGCAACTTTTGTCTCAAACATTTTTTCATTTGCCTATTATTTTTTGAGATATTTAAGAAAAACTTAGTAACTTTTTCAACATTTAACTTACAATATCTCGTGAACTATTTGTCGAAAGAAAAAGTGATTTCTTAGACTTTTTTATTCTATTTAGTGTCAAAAATATATTGTTACAATAATGCCCTGACTTTTGTTATTTTTATAACTTTGAAATTTTTAAAGGTTGACAAGTTAACAAAAGTTATGACACTATTATAAAAAATCGGCTAGTACGGGTGATCTGTGACTCTCTCTATAATATATATAAACCTTTATTTGTATTCTTTATGGTTTAGTAAATATAGCATTTTATATGGGTGCGTAGAAAATGTTGAAACCTCTTAATACTTTGGAAAAATTTTCGAAAAAAAAGGTTCATACAATAGCTGTAAGATTTTAGGTGACATATTACGTCGATATAGAGTTGGATCTCTGGGGATTACCGTAGAAGGTTATCACTTGCCGACTGAAAAGGATACTGCAATGATTAGCCGAAAGTTTCGGGGAAAATAACCTACGTTCTTTCATAGAAACATTATTTTCTACTGAGCTGATTCAGGATTTTGGAGAAGTGGAAGGGGCATGTCCATGAAGGAGAAATAGAATACATGGATTGTTTAATAAGTTTCAAACCTGAACATGAAAAACTGAAGACAATACTGTTCGGAAACTGTTGTAAGATATGAAAGCCACATCCTTTTAACAAATGCTCTCAGATGTTCAGCTACATGCGACACTTAGTTTCGTTTTGACAGTCATATATTGTTTGCATGTCAGTATATTTTTCAATGAAAAAAAATCGAATATTGTTCCATGATTAAATATTTGAATCTAAAAGGGAAAACCCCAACGGAAATCAAAACTGTATTGAATTCTATTTACACTGACTCTGCTCTCATGTTTTCAACGATGAAAGTTTGGATTATCGAGTTTAAGCGTGACCGTATAAGTGTGTTTGATGATAAGCGCCCGGATCGCCTAAAAACTGCAACAACTGAGGAAGTAGTCAATAAAACGTATTAAGTCATACTCGGATGATCGGAGATTGAAGAAATAGCAAATGCGTGCCGCATATCTTCTGAATGTATTCAAAATATTATATGAAGATTTGTACATGAGAAAGCAATAGTATAAATGCCGCGTTTGTTGACATTAGACCAAAAACACATTCGACGCAACATTTCAAAGAAATATTTGAATCGGGATTCAAGCGGGATGCAAAGGGTTTTTTCTCATCGATTCGTGATTATTGATGAAATATGGATTCATCACTACACATCTGAAAGAAAGAAACAATCAAAACAATGGACTTTGCTAAGCGAACCTGCTCCGAAGATGTTTTATTCTGGCGGAAAAGTAATGGCGACTATATTTTGGGATAGCCATGGCATATTGTTCATCGATTATTTTCAGGAGAGAAAAATTATCACTGACACATCATTATAGAATCATTATGCATTATTATTAGAACAAGAAAGAAATCGCAAAAAATGGCTACATTTAAAGAAGAAAAAGGTGCTTTTCTTATCAGGACAACGCACCAGCTTATACATTTACAATTGTCATGGCCAAATTGTATGAATTACGTTACGAATTGGTTCCCAATCTCCCTTATTTGCCTGATCTAGCCCTCGGCCACTATTTTTTATTTTCGAACATGAAGAAATTCTTAGGAGGAAAATAATTCGTGACAAATAAGAAAGTAATTTTTACCATAAACGAGTATTTTGCAAAGCTTGACCCAACCTATTTTGCTGACAGAATGAGAGGACCAGAAAAGAGAGACAATATGTATCGAGCTAAAAAGAGACTATATTGAAAAATAAAACCCATTTTGCCCAAAAATATAAATGCTTCATTGTTAGACTCCAAAAACTTATCAAACATATCAAACAACCTCGTACTTAAATAGTAGAGGTCAAGATGGCCATTATCAAAATCTGCGGTAATCCCGTCACGGGTCCGAGTGGAATCTATGCTGCTATTTGGAAGAAAATTCCGAAAGTATTAAAGTAAAGATATAGTTAAGGATTTAATTCTAAGTCTGAATATATGTCTGAGAGAAAGGATCTCCTCAAACACAACAAGTGAAGAGGGGAGAGTTTTATAGGTAGGCGGGGAAATTTTTTCCCGGAGTCCTATATTTTCCAAACAGACGGCTATCTGTACGTAACTGCACTTCCTTCTCCCTAGTAAAACAAAAAAACGTGATACATTACGTAGTAAAATTAGTAGTATTAGTATATTAGTATATTAATATTAGTTATTTAGAAATTTACAACTTTTGTATTGAATATTTTTTTAAAGATGCATAATTTCCGAAATATTAAGAGGTATTAACATTTTTTGTACACTTATATAAAGCACATTTATTAAATCATAGAGAATACATAGAAAGTTTACAATATATAGGTGTAGGTATATTGGTAATTAGCTGTCAATCCGAAGTATGAAGGTAGATTGGGTTAAGACAAACATAAAAGTCCCATAAGTTTCGCGAGATTCGCGATAATTATCGAGTTATTAATTGCAGAAATCTGACGAATGAGCGCGCGCCGAGATGGATGATTGGAGAAGCGTCGTAGTTTCTCGGGTCACAGCGCTGTCCAATTGATCCTGCAACTGTTGTCGGTGCACGGCGAGGGGAAGAACAACGCGCTGCTATTTGTTGTTTTATTTTGGCACACTTACGTCTCGCCGCACGCCGTCAACATTTGCTGGGTCGACTGGGCTCAAGAGGCTGCGACGCTTCTTCGATCATCCATCTCGGCGCGCGTTCATTCATAAGATTTCTGTAATTAACCAGTTCACTGGTAATATCCATATATGTCCAAAAAAAAGCAGTGACACTTCTGGTAATGGCTTCACCGCGCCGAGTGCGCGGCCGACCTCCAAGGCCAGCTCTGCCGCTCCAGCCTCTTTGAGAAGCGCCCTGGTCACGTTTGAACCGCGCCTTGGACCGTTTGATGATTTTGAAGTTTCTAAAAGTTATTAAGTTAACAAAAGTCAGGGCGCTATTATAACAATATATTCTTGATACCAAATAAAGTAAGAAAGTCCAATACCATTTTTCTTCCGACAAATATTAGGTGTAGTAAAAAGAAATCCTTTATTTTTGCATGAAATTGAAGGCTTTAATTACTATAGTTAGAATGATCCGATTTAGGTCAAATATGCGCCATTTTGTTCGATAACTTGTTGCCATTTTGAAGGTAATTTCATTATACCTCTCTCATAGAAGCCCTCGTCCCTATTGGCAAAAAATTGAGACAGTCAATTTTCACAAGCCTCTCTTGAAGCGAATTTTTCACCAGCAAAATTGTTCGCCATGGACAGGAACACATGGTAATCACTTGGTGCCAGGTCCGGACTATAAGGTGGATGCATAAGAACCTCCCGGAGCTTCTGGCGAGTCACTATCGATGTGTGTAGCCTGGCGTTGTCCTGATGGAACACAATTCCTCTCCTATTGGCCAAAGCTGGCCGCTTCTGGGCGATTGCTTCCTTCAGACGGTCCAATTGTTGACAGTACAGTTCCGAGTTAAGAGTTTTGCCGTAGGGGAGCAGCTCATAGTAGATAATTCCCTGCCAATCCCATCAAACACACAGCAAAACCTTCCTGGCCGTCAATCCTGGCTTGGCCATCGTTTCCGCCGGCTCACCGTGATTCGACCACGACCGTTTTCGCTTGACGTTGTCGTAAGTGATCCACTTTTCATCACCAGTGACCAACTGCTTCAGAAATGGGTCGATTTTGTTGCGATTCAGCAGCGATTCGCAGATGGAAATTCGGTCCATGAAGTCTTTTTGCGTTAACTCGTGTGGCACCCATACATCGAGCTTCTTTTCGTATCCAGCCTTATTCAAATGGTTCCAAACGGTTTTTTGTGCAATCTTTAGCTCTTGGGCAATCGAAACAGTGCTTACATGACGGTCGGACTCGACAATGTCCATGATTTTATCGATATTTTCGACAATTGGCCTTCCAGTGCGTGGTGCATCTTTGACATCGAAATTACCGGAACGGAATCGACGAAACCAAAATTGCGCGTGATTGGCTGTTACAGTATCAGGACCATAAACACTATTCATATTTTCAGCCGCCTGGCTTGCGTTTTCGCCTTTATCGAAGAAAAACTGTAAAATATAGCGTATTTTCTCTTTGCTAGTGTCCATCTTTGACGCGCGCTCAAACAAAACTGAGTCAACTAATCACAAAACTATCACAAAAGTTTTTTTTAGTACGAAATCTCATCTTTCTAACGCCATCTAGTGGAGTCCGATCGGACTTATACAACGCGAGATACAGATAACTAAAGCCATCTATTGGAAAAATAATGGATTTCTTTTTACTACACCTAATAGTTAGCTAGATATCGTAAGTTAAATATTGAAAAGTTATCAGGTTTTCCTCAAATATCTCAAAAATATTAGACAAATAAAAAAATGTTTTAGACAAAATTAACTTGTTTTTTACTGTAGAACCCAACCATTTAACATTTTATAGGGGGTCCCATTTGAAATTGCGATGTTACCCCCTTTAAAAGAGGGATTAGGGAGTATTAGGTGTACAACTTTGCT